GTCAAGTAATTACTAAATTCCCACAAAAAAAAGAAAACTGCACTGTACATTAACTATGCCAAAGCAACCTTACCTGTCAGCATTAATTAGCCAATCAAAAACGAAGTTTTCAAGCCCAGACCAAAGCTTCTCTACAATGATAAACCACTACCAATTAGCAACAGAAGTAGAAAAAAAAAATAAACAAATACAAATTCAATAGAACACTGTGCGAACCTGTAAGCCCTTCCTGTGGGCAGCACTCAACAAAGCGAATACATGCTGAGCAAAATATGCACTCAACTGCAAGCTAAGCCCCAAGCAAGAATATCATTATAACTTCAAATTAATAAAGCAAACTTCTCTGAACAAGGGATTTTAAAGCAACCATATCTAGAGAAAAAAAACAGCCTGGAATTCCCATTTGGAAACTTTACCTACCAATAAAAAATTAATATACTCTAAATTTAAAAGCATGCACAAGAGAGGAAAAAAAACTAACAGGAGAACGTTCTTCCATTATTTTTTTAAAAGAAAAGAAAATAAAAAATTCCCTACAAGCCCATCCCTGGGCAAGGTGCAAAAAAGGTTACAAAAAGATGAGGAGGAATGATTAGATGGTCCATCCCCAAGCCAAGCAAAAAATAATAATAATAATAATTAGAGAGTTTTTTCCCATCGTGTAAAGAAGTGAAGATCCGACAGTAACAAGAAAATAAGCCAAGGAAATACGTAGGGAAAAAGTATTCCCATTGAGAAAGAGTGTAAGAAACTGTAAAGTAATGAAACTAGAGAAGATAACAAAAATTATTTGGCTCCATTTGCTCAGTATGACATCAATTCATTAAAATTTTGAACCATTTAAGCTGATAAAAATACCAATTGACAAGAATCATCAATAAGTAATGGCAAACCACAATAACTAGAACTATTAGATACTATCTATTCACATTGCAATCATATAGCTTGCAAACCTTTCTTTGGAAAGTAGATGCGTCATTTGCACCCTTCGGTGATTCGCTGCAATAAGAGAAAAAGAGAAAATGTAATCAAACTATTAAAAAAAAAGAAAAATGTTTTTTTCTTCCTTACTTTTCTTTTATTTTATTTTATTTCTCTTTCTTTCTTTCTTTCTTTTTTTATTTTTTATTTTTTTTTCTTTCTTTTCTTGGGAATAAGAAGACTTCTTTGACTGCAGTATCTTAGCGCGGAAAGAAAATAAAATCTTAAATTGCTTGTGAACAAAAACTCTACGCATTAGCTCCATGTGAACATGCACACTCCCACCATTATACTCCCTCGTCATTATATATATTAGGAAATGGAAGGAATGTATTACTAAGATCAAAAAATAGCCTAGGGGCAGAGGGGGTGAGACATCCCATTTCCAAGAGATAGTGAAGCATAGCCTACCAATCTTGGAGCATAAAACCAAGGCTATAGTTACAAGAATTTCTTGTGTCTTACACACCAGAAAGAAGAGGTGAGTTGAGCATAGGTGCAAAAAAAAAAAAAAAAAAAAAAAAAAAAAAAAAAGAGTAGAGTTCAAAAGAAGTAGATTAGTCTCTAAAAAATTGTCTTTCCTTCCAAGTTTCCCACAAGAAGATTCTAGAGGCACATCTCCCTAAGATCTTTGCCTTTTCTTTTAAACTCCACTCATTCATAGCCTCCTGAATTCACGCCACAACCAAGGATGGAAGATAACTAGATAAGCCAAATTCCCTCCGAAGAATACTTCATCCCCTTGCAGTGTAAGAACAATGGAGGAAGAGGTGATCCGAGCTTTCTTCATTCTTCAGGCATAGGCTACACACTGCAGGGTCAAAATTCCAATTGCCTAATACTTCTGCATCCTCATCATAATACTTTTACCTCATTGAACTCTTCTTACACTCATACTCTCCCCTGATCTCTTTCTCCAATCTAGAAACACTAAATGTTCCCTCCCTCTCAGTCAACACACTTTGCTCCAACAATCTCTAACTCTTCACCTTGAATTGATCAGCTTGATGTGGATTTGGTTTTTCTTCACAACAAAATGGTTCCCCATTGGAAAAGAATTTAATATACTCTAGATGACAGCATCAAAAAATGGCCTCCTCAACAAATATGTTTCCCTAATCGCCCTTCCACTTCATTACATAAGGATTGAGGCCAAGATAGGCCCAGGGGCCACAACATTCTTTCATCCTTCTAAAGTTATGCGAGTCTGATGATGCATCACCTACTTAGGAACTAAGCTATAAGCACAAAGGGACAAAAGTATAAGAGAGTGAGTCACCCTGTCTAAAACTCTCGAATGAAGGATTTTTCCTCACGACTTATCACCAATGAACACAACAATAGAAAGAAAAAAAAAAACTTGAAATGCATCTCCACATCCATCTCCTATTTTCTCCAAAGCCTCTTTTCGCACTCAATCCTTAAAATAAATTTCTCCTTGCTGTTTCTCTACGTTAAAACTCTTGAGCCCACACAGTATCACAGTAATCACTACAAAACACTGGCCAAAATACAGTTTTGCTCTTCTACACGCTGCTTACCAACATCTTTGCCAATGAACTCTTTTAAATAATCACATTGCAAATTTATTTAACTATACCGCTGTTAGAAACTTATTTGGAATCCCAGTTGACTTGCTTATCCTCTTATTTTAGTTAAATTCTTCGGTAATACTGTACTTTCTATAAATTAGTAAGGAAAGCTGAGGCACCTTTCTCTCCATCGAAGAAGAGCCTCTAAAAGAGGCACAGGCGTGTGTCTCGCAACCATAGCCAAGGAATCCAGCACTTGCTCGTAGGCAGGGTCTGATGGTCGAAGATATTGTCCATCCTGCAAGTTGGAGACAGTCGAGTAAATAGAGTGGAGGATTGTTTACAAAATCGTACTAGACAACAAAAATGGACGTGAAAATTGGATTTCGCGATATGCAGCCATCAGAGTGCATAGGACAACGATAAAATTTGCTCACCAGGTCGAGCAAACACAAGAAATCCTTAAGTACTGGACAACTGGTACCCAGAAAAACAGAAAAGAATCTATAGAAGTACCAGAAAATACACGGAGTATACATCCTTGATTCATCTAGGAGGATGTTATAATTGCACCCAATATCAAGAAAACCTCAAATTGTAATACTAATCAAAGTCAAGACTTGTGGAAAAAATAATCACACATCCTCTAGTCTTCAAATTTCCAACAAAGCGACTATTGTAACTCTTTCTTCTTTTTTGGGGTGGGGGGCTAGCAAAGCTGCACATGACATTTTCTAGAGAGGAAACAATAGGAGGGGGAAGAGAAAACAAAAGCAAAACTGAACCTGAGCTTGTGCGGTTTCGATTCGACGCCGCGCGAGGGGGAGGAACCGCTGAAGCAAAGCATCAACTATTAGCTTAGCAGCACTTCCTGCTTTCCCGTCTTTGACCATGCTCACCATAATCACTTAGCTAGCATTAACTTCCAACCCCCTTTAGTGAAGCTCCAATGAATCTCCAATCGCAGTGACTCGCAGAGTCTGATCTTCCTTCCAACAGCTCAAGCTTGTAAGCAAAAACCCCTCTTGACAACTGACACGAAGGAGATCGCTGCTTGAGCACGCTCGTTTACCATAGGCAAAACCCCAGAAGTAAACCACCTAAAGCAGAAAGATCGGAGTAGAAATCCCTAGAAACCAGGCAATTCACATGAAAACGAAGAGAGAGAGAGAGATTGACTATGGTAGGAGGAAGGAGCTGGTTGAAGAAGAATCAATGGAGCTTTGTTATGGAGAGCATACAGGATCTGGCGGAAACTGTGCAAGAATTGGAGACGAAATTGCTTCATTTTCCGCAGAAATTCATTTCGATTGGGAATTGAAATTGACGCCTACCAGAATCAAGAAAGGTGGAATAACAGGGTGGATTAAGGCTATTTCTTGTTTCTAAAAAAATAAAAAAAGAAGGAAAGAAAATATTTTTGTTCATACAGACAACAAAAGTCGCGGATCACGTTCGGGTTTTTCCGATTCAACAACCGCTACTTCAAAACCCATTACACAAAAATATATAACTCTAAATATTATATATATTTATATATTTATTAATTTTATGCCTCTCTTATTTTTCTAGTAAGAATTTAATTTCTCATGTCTTAGTTAATAATATATATATTATTATTATTATTCCATTTATTAGGTTCAAATTGAAACTTAAAAAAAAAAAAAAAAAAAACC